CAATCGGTGAAAGTCCATAATTACGGACGGCAACTTACCCCACAACAGTAAATAAATGTTAATATCGACCGCGAATAAACTGGGTATATCCTTTACGCAGGTTGTACAGAGGGTCGCAATTATTATTATCATTATACAATGTGTTGAATATATATATTCATCCCCATCAGCCCTTCTCCTGTTCCCTCGGAACTTCAAAAGTTCGTTTCTCTACCGGAATGCATATTATTAAAACATTCCAGAGTGCTCCCCACATCGACCTCAGCGTGCTTTGCAGGGACGTCGGGCAGATTCATCATTTTCAGCGTATCCATGGCGATTGAAACTCTCTCTCGAGAATTCTGTTGGCCATCATTATATAAAAATTTTATCTTTTACGAGCGTTCGAAGAACGCGAACAATTACTACGAGTTTCTTTGTTTACTTAAAACTTTTGCAGTCTGACGCGCCATAAACAAAAAACGTTAAATAGGATGATGCTTAACCAAAAGCAAAACTGTATTTTGTCATCAGCACGTTTGAAATGTAACTATTGGTAAAATAAGAAAAGAAAAATTCTTTTATAAAGTTTTCTTTTTACATCCGATAAGCTTTCAATTCCAAAAACTGTTCTGCTATTAAGTATATATATGGACAACAGAAAAAATTTGCTGAGCTTATTAAATTGAAACAATATACGTTTTATAAGCAACATATGTACGTTTGATAAAACAATAAATTCAGTAAACTTAGTCGATTTTTTTCACTCGACATAGTAACTAATCTTCTTGCAAAATTGCTTCTCTCATGATATGAGATACATAGGTAAAAGAACATTTTTCGTAGAGCTTTTGATATTCATTTTTTATAGAACAAAATAAGCAGAATAAAAATCAAAATAATCTGGGTTTTGCTTTTGATTTTTATTACGAAATATTACGCAAAGGATAAAGATAGCGCATCTATTATCATTTCTTCATTACCTTCTTATACTTACATTCTTGCTAACGGACGGATGTCTCAATTAAGATCGAAGGGGATCGGCTGCAATTATCGACAATTTTCACACTGCTATTTCATCGCGTCTCTTTTTCTTGTCTTCTTTTGCTTTCTCTTCTCTTTGAATAATAGCTACTTTGAAAAAAAACAAAACTATGCTTTGCACGTGCATCAATCAATTATTGTGTTATACGTTACTATCACATACATTGAATCTATTTGTGTTGTTTACACTTTTTTAATTTTATTTCGGTTTTCTTTTCTTATATATCAAAGTACAAAAATTTGCACGAAGTATGAGCAGCATAAATAGACTCATTTTTACCCGTATTACAAACATCTTTGGCACTTATATGTTTGTTTATAGTAAATTTGTTTATAGTAGAAGTAATAAATCATAACTTGTGTATTATATGTGTGTATATATATATATATATGTATACCAACTTTACAAACTTTATAACTGTTTCTAGTATTGAACAAGTTGGAAATATTATCTTGTAAATATTACAATTAAAAAATATTACAATTAAAAATGTCATTTTGGAATACCTACTTTTTATATTTGTTTTTATAATGCTTTCACCTATGATTGTTTGTAAAATATTTTCTGTTATATTCAAAGTTTTTGTCATACAATTTACAGTATATTATAGATAATTGTTTGTTGACATATACTGAGAGTCATATAGTAAGTACTAATCATACGTCACTTTTTACCATAATTTCAGATTGCGAGAGACACTTAATGTTTCTTAAGCTCAAATTGAAAACTGTATGCACAAATAGGTAAATAAATGCGGCAAGATATCTCTCTTCCTCCCTCCCTTCTTCTTCTTCTTCTTCTTTTTCTTCTCTCTCTCTCTCTCTCTCTCTCTCTCATTGCGCATTGTCGAGAAAACGACCATTAGCATTGAATCGTACTATAAATTACGGCCATGATGCGGCAAGCAAGCTAAAGTAATCTCAATCTTTTACCGTGGCATAAATCACTCCCTTGCTAATGCTGCGTTGCCAATAACGCACGAACTCGAGTACGCGAATATTTACGAGAACATTTAATTAACCGACATTTCTTGCATTCGAACGATGAATCGCGAAATTATCTCACAAGAATTGTATCTATAGAAATTGATAACGCTCACAACTATTTTCTCTTTCTCTTTTCTTTTTTCTTGCATAGTTTGTCCTTCATATTTTTTTTTTCCAAGCTGGCCAATTAGATTGCCAAGCGACGGTGCATTGCGCGGTGATAGGATGATCGAGCGTTCCGATTGTATCGGCGCTCGCGTGCCATGATCACGGCCAAGACACTTGATAGCCCGATAAGTAATGCACCCTGATAGAATGACAGAAGATGTACGCTCCGAAAAGAGACAAGATGAAGAAGGAAGAGAAGAGAGATCGGTCAAAAGAAGCGCGCTTTCAGCAGGGTTTGTGTGGAAGCACGAGGTTATCAAGATATCGCGGGAGCGGCAATGAGTGTCCCTCTACGAAATGAATAGACATGGCTGATTTTTTTTCGCGAGGTATAAAGAATCATATGGCAGCATATGTGTTGTAAATGATTTACCACGATAAATTGCCATCTTTTTTTTTTATCTTTTGTCTAATATTTTCTGACATACAAGGTAACAGTAAGAGCCATAAGATCGTTTTTTTTTCTGTTTTCCGCATTTATTAGTTTCGAAACGCAACAATAATGGTGCGCTGACTCGCTTTTGCGATCGGAATGTGATGTAGGTATTTAAAATCGTTTGCATCAAATAGATTAACAAAGTTTAACTTATCAAATTTCTTTGTCTTTTGATGTGTTACTTTAGTTAAAAGTGCTGAAAATTGAAAATAAATTCAATCAAACGACTTTTCGAGACGCATATTTTATAAATTATTTTTTATAAACGTATCAAAATAATGTGTAAAATAAAAATACAAATTACAGTCTCAAAATTGCTTTTTATTATCTATAAAATTAACTTCTGCAGATCTGTTTATTTAAAACTATTTATTTCGCCAACTGTGCCCAATAAGTCGTACAGCTGTTTTTGCCAGCGTATGGGGCCTAATTAAGCATAGCATAAAGAACGGAATTGAGGGTGAGCACGAAACGAGAGTCACCACGGATTTGTTCTTGTTGTTACTGATTGCCGAAAGAGACCCCAGCTGACTGAGCTTTGTGCCTAGGATGTCGTTTGATCTTCGATCACGTGGCGCGGTGGAGTGAATACACAAGCGGCGTACAAGCTAGGGTCGTTGCAGTTAATTGCCAGCTCAACAACCATATCAGTGAAATCTGCGACAACTTTCACATCGCGACGACGAGAGATCGAGATCTGCTTGCAAGCAAGAAGGACATAATCCTCCCTTGGTATGATTTTTCTGATCGCGATGACCAAGAATTTTTGTACGGATATAATATCAGATATGTGCTGTTAATTAGCTGTAGAGAAAACAACAAACCGGCGTGTCGCATACTATTTTGATTTGGTTATCTATTCGCGTTTGTTTTGCAATTGCTTGTCTGCTTGAACAATAAAAGAAACGAACTGTGTGTATATACATATATATGCAGATTGTAAATATCAATACAGTTTTTTAATTATCACACACAAGTGCGACTGAAATAAAATTAGTATTTCAAACAATTAAAAGTTGTTTTACTTCAAAACACACACCGTAATATTTATAGTTTTTATAAGTAAAAAATCATTAAGTTATGTTTTTTGTAATTTACATTGTATATCACACGATATTCATCAAGCTCTCAATGTACAAAATATAGCAATGATGAGTTTTAAAAACTTCTGAAATGCGAGGGAGCAATAATTACTTCTATACCTCGTTAGCAAAAGATTTCCAAGTTGAAATATTATTTCTTGATACAAGCTAGAATCTGAAGAAAGACAAGAGAATGAGAGAGAGAGAGAGAGAGGGAGGGGAGATGAGAGTAGGCGGACGGCAGTTTGTGTAAGGGAGGAAGATAGGCTTCAATTATACCGATTGACTCCTCCAGTGACGCTAGAGTAGGGGAATTTCGCTCCTCCCACTATCCCATCACGTGATCTCAAGCAACCTTTCTTCCTTCCTGTTTGTTTTCTTTTCTTTTGATATAGTAAGAGAGTGATGATTTTCCGAAAAATGCGTAAGGAACGCCTTTGGATATGATTCACTTATCTGTAATAAACAAAGTATGCGTGTCAAAATGCACACGTAAGTTTTGTTAAATAAATAATAACATTGTAAGAAATAATTAAAACAAATGTATTAATTAAATACGTAATTATAAATGTACAGAAGATCGAACACACAGAAAAAAAATAGATTAAGAATTATGACTTTGAGAGTCAAATGCTGTACGTGTGCGAAATATATATTTTTAACGTGTAAATTAATACACATAGAATTTAAATTGAATTTACACGTTAAAATAATAATTATAAATATCAGTTCAATAACAATTCTAAATTTATATAAGACAAACTAGAAAAAAATAAAACTTTTGTATTACAAACACTCTCCGACATGCGAAAATTCAGGTCGTTAATACTAGCATACCTGTTGGTCAGGAGAAAGATGTTTCCAGACAAGTTTTCGAGAGCGAGAACCACGCTGAGGGCGAGAAAAGGAAGAATTTAAGACAGGAAAAAGGGGAAAAAAGAGATGCACAAGCATTCACGCTTTTTTTGTCCTTCTCTCTCTCTCTCTCTCTCTCTCTCTCTCTCTGTCTCACGTGCTTCCTGCCTTCGCTATTTCTCTCTTTCCATCCCTGGTCTTGGCGTCTTTGTTCAGATGATTGAGTTTCTGTTCGTTTCTCTTCGTCTTTCATATAAAATCTCGGGGTAGTGGCTGACGGTGGTGGTGGTGGTCGTGTCTGGATGGTGATGGTTATGGTGGAGGGGGTAGTTGGTTCTTTCGAGCCTATACTATCCCTATAGGAGGGCGAGGAGGGTTCCCATGCGCACTGCGCACCGAGTTCATCATAGACAGAGCGATCTCCCTGACAGCTTCTCGTCGAGTCTTGACCAAGCGGAATCATTCAGATTCTGTCCATCTCTCAGTCTCTGCGGTATAGCTTCGTGTCGGTGTCAACGAACGAAGGAGAGGAGGAGAACAAAAGTGCGTGACTTTTTTCTCGCATTCCTTGATCGGACACTTGCTCTCGATCGTCATACTTGTCCACTTCCTCTGCCAAACTTCTTATCATTTCCACTGTCTTGTCTGTCAGGTTTTTTTCTCAAGTACCAAAGTGCTTTTTTCTTCAAGTACTGAAGCGGCTCACCTTTGATCGCATCCTTTTCTCAGCGGGAATCTTCACCCCGCAGACACGATCCGACAAAACGCGTTGACACCTCCACTCGTGGAGTCTTTCGAAGAGGATCAGATTTATCTCTCTCTTTCCTTCCCTTCTTCTCTTCTCTCTCTCTCTCTCTCTCTCTCTTTATGTCTTTTTTTCTATTCCCACCTGATTCTTCCTCTTCCGCAATCATCAAAACCTCGCCTGGATCTGTCGTCACCGTCGCACCGTGCGTGACGATCGCGGGAAGTTTGCTATTCGATTGTTTGCACGAGTGAGAGATAAGCGCGGTTACAAGGGAGAGAGAGGAAGTTCACAGTAGAAGAGGAAGAGGCGGTGTGGTTAAGGAGAAAGAGGAAAAGGACCTGTAGCTGAGAGGCGAGGTAGAGGGGAGATGGTAATGGTTCGCGTGTAGGAGGAGTAGGAGAATCCGAAGGGCGACTTTTCTTTTATTTGAGTTTGACACTTTGCCGTGAGCGCACATACCGGAAGTATCAAGTGAGATATCAAACTATCTTTTCTTCTTTTGTCCACTGTGTCGACAGATTGGTTGACTTATCGAAATTCCGTTATTGATGAAAGAAACCAAAAGAAGAACAAAGTGTACTAGGAGGGTGAATATACAATGGACCGAATATTACCGGATTGTTGGATAGATATTGCCGGAAAAGGTGAATTACGACTTCGCGAAGGTGTAAATTGGATAAAAAAAGCGTTCCAAAGCTATGCTGAAGAATTTCTCCAGCGCCGAAGAGAATGCCAAAGACGGAAGTAAAACAAGTGCAACTAGAATTTTAGTGATAGTGACCTTTTCTCATCGTGTACCTCGACGAAATCTGGACATTGCTAGATTTCTCTTCGCATATTTTGTTCAGAGAACATTTACAGTATTTTCCTTCTCCAAAGATAAATATATCTAACAGAATAAGCAAAAATCATCTCTGAGATATTTTACATCGAACATCGATTTTGTTCTCGACAAACTCCAAAGGCTCTAATAAGAACGTACGCGTAAGTGGTTCGTCAAAGTATAGCGGAGCGTCATTATTAGACGAACGAGTCACGAGAAGGAAGGTGATTACACATCGAGAACGTACCTCGTCATCGAGCGAGCGAGCTGACGAGCAATAAGCGATCACGAGAGCTGGGATCGAAACGCGTATACACGCTCGATGAATCGTCCGATCGTCGCGGAATATCATTGTTCCGTGGTAGTTTTCGGAACGACCCTTCGAAACGGCGAAACTGGGAGCTCTCGAATCGTGCGGTACGTCAAAGGAGAAGCGCCGGTGCCCGGGGCGAGGTGGAGTCCTCGACGCGTGCCAGGCTGCTGATCACAGGCACCGCGGCGAGAAGAGTAGGAAAAGGACCAAAGAATACGAGAAAAGAGAGAGAGAGAGAAAGAGAAAAAGAGAGAGAGAGAGAGAAAGGCTACCTCGATAAGAGCAAGAGAGAAAGGACGAGGAACAGAGAAAGAGAGAGAGAGAGAGAGAAAGAGAGAAAGAAAGATAAAGGAGTAGCATCATTTCAAACGAGAAGGGGTTCTTCCGTTCGGGTGCTAGGGGTGTGTACAACCCTGGACAAGGGGTCGTACTCAACTCTTTAAAGTGGGCAAAACCGTGAAAAAAAAAGAAGACGTTTTTGTGGCGATGACAGAATGCCTCCGTCTCGTGCAGAACCAAACGAAGGACCGCCGCTCAAGATCACTACTAGGACCGGCCTGGCCATTGCTCTATTGCTGATCTTTCTCGAACATCGACAGTAAGTATATCTCTATAATCTGATGGTTTATTTAATAATAAACGTCAAATCTTCTTCTTCAAAAAGTACATTAAATTAAAGTATCGGCATTGAGATCAGAGCACTCGTTAACATTGTTAACGATTTTATATCTGTGTTGATCTTAGAATGTATTTTTTATAATTATAGTTCTCCTTATTATTTAATTTAAAAATGTGATAAACTAATGTAATATATTCTTTTCGTGTAAATATGTATATATATATGAAATATCTTGTAGATATAAAATTATATCGGAATATTTTCTTGGATTTTAATCGCAAAGTAAAACGTAATATACATAGTCTGTTTCATAAAATGTTTGTACATTTATGTACATGAATCTTACGTAATAAGCATTCGCTATACGTGTTCATTATTCAGCGTCATCATCAATATGTTTTCTCTTGAACGTTTTATCTACATTATATTTTCTTTGTGATTGACTAGTAACACATCTCTTTCGAAGTACATATATTTCTCTCATTCTCATCATCTTCTTTCTTTCCCTTCACTTCACATTTTATCGCCCTCGCCGTGAATACTCTTCAAGAGAGCTCCTTCCCTTCTGTACTTCGATCTACACGATACTCCCAGCACGCTGATGTGGACCATAATACAGACGTCAAAACGTCACTCTCTCGCCCGCTTTGTCTGTTCGCTGCGACGGAGCGCTTCAAATCGCAATCCATGAGATACATCACATTTACCACATGGCGAAAGATACATTAAAAGACTATGACAATGTCGCAGACCAACCAAGTTGTACTGCGAACACGAGGTGCCGTGTCTAATTTCGTCGAGGAAAATTTACGAGCACGGTAACACAGCTGGGCTTCTTCGATGTTTTTTTCCTCTATGGTGTCTTCTGTATCCCTGATGTATTCACTCTTTCGAGTCTCTTTGTGAAAAGAATTTGTCAATAGGCTCTCTTCTTTCAAGGCCACCATGCTATCGACGGTTCTACGGAGGTGGTCAATAATGAACTGCAAATAGGCTGTTTGTGACTGAATATAACATCACGATGAACATCCTGCTGCGAACTTTATATTATGGCCCTTTGATCGTATAATACTAATAATCGCACCTTTGCCAGAATCTTACTGAAGGTTCTTTTCGTGAACAAAAAGAGAGAGAAAGAGAGAGAGAGAGAAAGAGAGAGAGAGAGAGAGAGAGAGAGAAAGCAAGCATATTAACACCTTGACGCCGGGGAACGCATATATGCGTCATTTAGATTTTTCACAAAAATAAGTAGATAAAACGCTATAAATTTCAATTTCTCTTCAGAAACGTTACAACAGATGTTTTACGAGTTAAAATAACTGAATATGTTTTAATTTTCTTGTTTTATTTTGTAATGATATCCACATTAAAACTTTGTATATGTTAAAGCGATAAGATACGACTTCAACGTCCTGCTCTGCTGCCGATACTTGAACTGTGATTATGTAAGAGGAAAATAAGATAAGAAATCGATGCTTTCCCACATACAATGTTATGTATGTTTATATATGCTAGAGCAATAAATAAGCACATCTTTCAGTCTTCTCTAGGTTTTCGTAACTCGTATATGTTTCTCCAGGAAAGTTTTTTACTTCTCAACAGTTTTCGCAAAGGAAAATTTGAATTTCTATTTTTATAGATTGTTTTCTAACATAT